ATTTCATCATTTGATTACCCAATAAATGCAGTTTTTAATAACAATTACATTAAACATAATTAATAAACTAAATCAATTTTAACTATAATTTTAATTTACTATGGATTATTGGAACCAAACGATAATATACTAATTCCGCTGCATTGCTATCGAGACCACTGGTCGGCTCGTCTATACACATGAGGTTTGGCTTATTTTGTTGAACTAATTCCAGACCAACTGTCAGTCGCTTCTGTTCGCCACCACTGCATGTCTGGACACAAGTGTCGGCGCAGTCCTCCAGAAGCAGTTCCGATAGTATTCGCCGCACATTCAGGTTGTGATCAAAGTTGCCGTTAATGTCCAGCGGCTCGAAGTCGTCACACAAACTAAACTTACGATTAAAATCTGTTTCATCGCTCGCATCAAAACATAAGAGTGAATCTCCCGTTTGGGCAAAATTGTCGCGATATATGTGACCAACAGTTACCCTATTCTTGATTTTTGAAGCAAATAATAGCGATTCTCTGGAAAATTATACAAATTTTGTTTTTTTTATAAATTTTTACAACTTTGCTAATTAAAAGTTGTGATATAATATAAATATAAAATTGCTTTTATTAAAATTTTATAAATAATTAGTCTCTCACCTAACAGTCAGTCCTTTAAGGATGTGTTCATCGGATGATTGCATTATAAAACAAGTCCTCAAATCCGTGTATTTATTGACAAACATCTGTGTGTCAGCCGTGAGGCCAGAGTTGGAGCGCATATTAACGCACTTCAAAAGTGTGGTCTTTCCCGCACCCGACGGACCCATTAGTGCCGTCAATGTATGGAAATTGATTTGACCGTTAAGTGAGTCCAGAATAGTCTTCACTCGTTTGCCAAACAAACTCTTTTGGACAAAACCCAAGTTAGTCCACGCGATCGCCAACTCGTTATTACTATACCCATAATTATCTGTCATTTTGTCGCAAAATCTATCGTCAAAATAGTCACTAAAAATTTGTTTAACAACAAGTATTATTTTAATACAGATTATAAAACTATAAAATCACAGTTTCTAACGGGTCTGTTATATAGTGATTGTTAACTGCTATTTAGACCGCTATTAATATAGTATATAATTCCGTATTAAATGATTTGTTTGCTTTAACTGACAGCAATTAAAATAGACATTCATTGGCAAAAATTATGTGATTTGTCAACATGTTAAATTGTTTGATAAGCTAGAGTCCAATTTAAATCAATATACATCATTTTATTTTCTATTTATACATTTTCAACAGAAATAAATTATCATCATTATTATTCAGTATTAGTAACTATACTTTATTATTGGTAATTAATGGTGAAGTTAAGTCATTTAGAATTGCAGTTAACTGAATATCTCATAACATTTACAAGTCATATATTATTGGTTAATTTAATAAAAAGATAATGTATGCTATCATGTTAAAATACGTTTATTGGAATAGATTTATCAATTAAACTAATTAATATGTATCGATAAACATATTTATATAAATATTTAAATTTCTAAATATATGTTTATATAAAGAAATTAAATATTTACTTGTTAATTGATTATCGATTATGTAATTATAAAACTTTCTCGTGTGAATATTTGTGTGAATGAAAATTAACACTTTTATGCACTAAATATTCTTGCTGTGTATTTTAGTATAGCTTTAATTTATCATTTTATTATTTATATTTTGAAATATTTTACAAAACTCATAATTATTTAGATTTTAGTTGAGTAGTAGTGTGTCTGTGATCACCAATTTACCCACAATAAATTAGAAAAAATAAAAATAAGTTTAATTAATAAACTAAATATAATTTATTATTATTGTATTAACCAATTCTTGCCCCAAAGTCATAAAAGTAAACATAAATGATTAAAAATTTAAATATAAGTAAATAACTGTCATAACTTAAGTTTTTTAATTAAGTAAAAAATATTTGTTTAATATTGTAATAATATTATGTTTTGTGATTAATATTGATAGCAATTTAATTAATGCTAACATAAGTGAGATAATAGCTGGAAATGATTGATATAATAATGAATAATCAAATTTGTGTGTCAATAATTTTACAATCTGATCAAATCATATTCATATTAATTATAAAATAATTTATTTTTTAATCATAATTATATTTAAAATATGAAATATTACAGCATATACTATTTAATTCATCGAGATAAAAATTTAAATATTCAATTGAGATAAAATACCATTATTACAAATTTGGGAAAAATTTAAACATAAAAAATAATCATGTTCCAACAGCCATTCTGATGATAACTTTACAAAACTTTGTACATTAATGCTAACAAACCAAATATCCGAAAAAAGACTAATTGACCTAGGACATTATCAACAAACATATTAATTAATTATAAATTGAATTAAATGTGAATACAAACCTAAAATCCAGGCGCAATTGTCCCACATTTCATCATGTTTTAGATCAAACTGTTTCAACGCCAGACTTATCTGTGTTGAGTCGCATCTGTCGAAGGCGTATAATGTGATCACATTTGAGTAAAAATTGAATTTAACACAAGAGATGTAACTAATGGCACGAATAAAGCCGTCCTGAGTGTAGAGCCGTATTGGGAAACCGCCCAACAAAAAGACGGTCAGATAAAAGGCCACACTTGTTATGATTGCCAATTGATAGTTATGGGCAAACACTATACCAAATACGTGACCGATTCCGTTGCCCACTAACAGTCCGCCCGCCTATTTAGGGGGGAAGCGGACAGACACACAATTAAATCAACATCTACTTTAATACATAACATGGTAAAATTATTATTTACATTGACCATGACGAAGTAGCCGTACCGAAAGAACTCGTCCGACTCTTGACCGCTGGCGTAGAATATGATGGTTGAATAGAGGACCGATAGGGTGACGGTTACGGGTATCTCAATCAAGGATTTGCTCCAATAGTAAGAACTCGTTGAATACCATCGGTTGCGGTGTTCGTTGAGAAATACGCGCACTTCGGCCGGAAATGCGAGTACAGTGGAGGCCATATGACGGTTACGGGTATCTCAATCAAGGATTTGCTCCAATAGTAAGAACTCGTTGAATACCATCGGTTGCGGTGTTCGTTGAGAAATACGCGCACTTCGGCCGGAAATGCGAGTACAGTGGAGGCCATCGCCACGAAGCCGGCGGCGCCGCACGCGAAGAATAGCAGTTTCAGGTTTTCGGTCACATCCGACTGTTCCCGCGGCAGCTCAAGCCCGCCGTCCAGCGATGAGTTGGTTGGTTGGGAACTATTGGCGACCATTAGGTCCAGACAGCCGTCCGTCTCTCCGATGTCCCAACCGTACAAATAGCACAATATTACGCCCAAAGAGGTGAGAAATATGCCAAATCCCAGAGTTGTAATCCAATCGTATCTCAACTTTGA